CCCATCCCCAGCTCTGCACGCGGGGGGGGGAAGCCCACCCCCCAACGCACGGGGGCGGGGCGAAGAGCCCCCGGCGGTCACGGCCCCGCTCACCCGGGCTCCTCCCCGCGGCGCCGGCCGCCGGCTGCTCGGGGCCTCTCGCGACGCGCCGCTCCGGCCGGGAGGGGGCGGGGGAGGGGGGAGAATAACGCGTCGCAGCGCGCAGCCGCGGGCCCGGGGACTCCAGCTCCCGGCATGCTCCGCGCGCTGCACTACAGCTCCCGGCGCCCCCTGCGCAGGCACCCCGGAGGCCGCTGGGGGATGTAGTCCGGGCGGTTCAGGCTCCGCCCCCTGCAGGGCCCCGCCCGTGGGGTTGTTTGCGGGGGGAGCGCTGCCCCCCCCACTCCGTGACAGTCCCACCGTGCGGCTCAGCACCCAGGACCCTGGCCCTCCCCAGGGCCTGGCCCCCTCGGGCGCCCCTGCTGTGCCCAGACGCCCCCATCGCCCCCCACCAGCACCGTGGGGGGAATCCCCTCCTGAGTGTGACCTGGCGCCCCGACGCCGCGGTGATGGGCGGCACACGCTGCTCGGACATCGGGCGCTGCAGGCCTCGGCACACGATAATCACCCAGGCCCCAGCCCTGCGTAGGGTCGCCGGCTGCCCCAGGATCACGGGGTTCTGTCCCGGGAGGGCTGCAAGGCGCTCAGCCCACGGGCTCTGCCGTGCGGTGTGATGGGCTCAGGATCTGCCCACTTGCTTGGCGCTCAGAGGTGGCCACCCTGATTGGAGTCTAGGAGTGGCAGTTCCACTCAGCGGCCTCCTGTGTCAGCCTGCTCCAGCCCAGCCTCAGCGGCACAGTGCCTGAGCACCGTCTGCCCTGCACATCTCACTGGGCTCTCACTCGGTAGCCAAGGATGAGGGGAGAGAGCCAGGAACACGGGAATGGCCAGAACACACCAAGGTCCCATCCAGTCCCGTGCCCTGTCTCTGGCAGCAGCTGGCACCCAGTGCTTCAGAGGAAGGTTGAGAAAATCTGTTGTGGGGCCGGTGTGGCAGGCCAGGCTGGCACCACCTACAAAAGGCAGGCTGTGCAGGGCACTGTGTTAGACCCAGCTTTAACCATGGTGAAATGCCAGCACGGGAAGGGGGAAGGTAGCGTTGGGGACGTGAGGGAGGGAAGGGGGGGGAGTGGGGCAGGCAGGGAACTCACCCTCACCAGGGATGGGCTCCAGGACCCACTTCTCTTCTGCACAAGGCAAATCATGTGGGAATGAAACCCAAAAACCATTGGGGAGGGAGGGGGGTCCAGGATCCTGGCCTGGAGGAGCCTCTCCTTTGGCAGAGTCCCAAGTCTCCCATGTGATGTTCTGATCCCATGAAGCCCAGCAAGCCGGGGCCCTTAGCTCAGCAGAGGGCAAGGAGGGGAACGAGCCAGGCTTGCTGAGGTGGTATCAGCAGAGACGGGGTGGGGGAGCGTTAGTGTCCCAGATAGCCTCTTGCAGGAGTGTGCTGGCTGCATTTCTCCCTGCACGACATTTGGCTCTCAAGCTCTTGCAGACTGGCTCGAGGTCTCAGCCCTGCAGCCTCCCCAGCAGAGGCATGCTGGGACTCCTGCTGGTTTTTGAGGGGGGCTCATTCCCCCCTGTGCAGCCTGCTCTGCCAGCACAGGGATGAGCGAGCAAGAGAAGCCGGTTTGCCTTCTGTCCTGGCTAGCTGGGATCCTTCTCCCACTCAGCAATGGAGCAGCCCCTGCCCTGGGCAACACTGATCCTGCTGAGTGCCTGGGCTGCAGCTCCCAGGCAGGCCCCTGGGACCAGCAGGACAAGACCACACGTGTGGGACAGAATCCCAGCCCGCTGGCTCCTCCCCACTCCCAGCTGCTTTTTCTTGGCATTCGCAGGGGTTAAGGAATTACCCAGGCAAGGGTGTGAGCACAGCCCGGCGCTAGCTTTCCCGGCTGCTCCCCCTGCACTCGCCTAGCAGCTGGAGGCCAGGGAGGACCGGAGAGTGCAACCAGGTACAGAGACAATGAGGGACAGACGCTGCTCCCAGGCCAGGGCTTGGGCCCAAGCAGCTGCTGCTCTCGTTAAACCAACCCTAGAGAACAGACGCTAGGGGATGGGCCTGCCCTGGGCCCAGGGATGGGCTGGACAGGACTAGAGGACATGGGCCAACCCTGCTTCTGGGGCTGGAGCCTTCCTCTCCTGGGGAGAACCCAGAGTCCCAGCTGGTGGGCGGAACAGGGATGGCTCCGGGGTTAGACCAGTAAAGCCTGGGCCCCCTGCCCTGACACTCACTCCCCATATGGAGCTGAGACCCATGGTGGCTGCTCCCCAAAGTGCCATACACCCATGAGGATTGGGGAACCCTACTGCCAAGGGCCCTGGAAAAGCCCAGCCCTCTCCTCACATCCCGAGGGGCACAGGCTGTGCTCCCTGTGGGGTGAGCAGCCTGCGACCTCCCCTCCTGCACGCACCAATGCATGTCTCAGCTGCGCCCCAGCAGGCCTCCCTGCAGCCTCAGCATCCTCCAGCAGCCCCAGGCCGGGCGGCAGTCTGCAGCCAGCCCAACACGGGCTCTGGCGCAGCACCCAGGTGCTGGCCCTGGATTTCTGTGCCCAGCCGGCACAGGCTCTGGCTGTACCTGTAAAAATAACCTCCCCAGCTCCTGGGCTGCCCGGCACCGTTCCAGTCTGAGACACGCCTGGGGGCTTGGCCGAGAGCCTTGTGGCACTGCAGGGGATTTGGGCTTGTCATTCTGCTGAGCTGAGCCACTTGGAGGCTGGTGCCTCCCCCTTGGCTCCAGCCTCAGACATCTGGAGTTCTGTCCTGGCACGTTAAACCTACCATCATTGTCCTGGGCAGAGCGGGCGGCAGTGCTGGGCGCACACATGGTTAACACAGGCCCTGCTCTCTGCCGCAGCTCACATCTGGCAGGGGAGGGCTGCTTTGCTGGGTTTGTCCCTTTTCTTCCCTCTCCTCCTTTACGCTGGAGAGAGTGCGTTTCCGCTCGGGCCGTAGGAGAAGCAGAGGCTGCGCTAGAGGGGCAGAGAGCAGAGCTGCCTTGGGCCAGGCCCCCCACTTCCCTCCTCCCCGCACCCCAGTAGGGGGTGGAAGTGGCAGCTCAAAGGGGATGCTGTAGGGAGGCGAAACGCACCGAGAGAGGGCGAGAGAAACAATTCCAGCACGGCCAGCACCTTGGGCTCCAGCCACCGAGGCGTCAAACCTGCCACAAGTACGTGTGAGGGCAGGTGGGCGGGCTGGCAAGGCGCTGGGTGTTTGTGCTGGGGGCATCAGGGATGCCAGGGGCTGCCCCTGTTCAAATGGCCAAACAAAGGCAGCACCCGGGGCATCAGCCAGAGCTCACCTGGGATCATGGCACCCGGATCCCCCACTACATGAGCTCACCAGCAGCAGGGAGCACATGCAGCCCTCGGCTTGGGCCTAAGCCCGCACTCCCAGGGGAGCTCTGGGCCCTGGAGCCTAGGCTGGGAAATGACTGTTCAGAGTTTGACAGATCTCCTGCTGTTCCCTGCTGCTCCATCTGGGACACCTCCGCGTTCCCCAGCACGGCTCGGAGCAGCTCTGCTCAGCTCTGTGCTCCCACAGCAGCCTGCACCCTTCGCCGGGGCAGGGCTGGCGTCAACAACAAAGGTGCCCCAGCCTACTTGGTCCTTCCACCAGGCATCTGGGGCAAAGGCCCTTAAGGACAGGCAGTGCCAACAGCTCCAGTGATGTGCCACTGCCCTGGCACAGCCGGGCATGTCTGTGGGGGGCAGGGGAGTGATTTGCTTGCTTGGTCCCATGCCCATTGCAGTGTTTGCTGGGTAAGAGGATCTCGTTTCCTGGCTTTGTCACAAGAAGCCAGGGAAGGCCTGTGTCTGCATCATGTCCTTGCACCCTGGAAACCCCAAGGACAGGGGAAGCGGGGTGGGCACACAGTCCAGCTCCCCTGCCCCATGCCTACCAGGCCTTGCCTGGGCCCCTCCTCCTCTCACTCGCTGGGATTTGTGCTCAGTTCAGCCCGGTCCTTAATGCTGCCTGGAGTTTATTTCAGGATGTTTTGCCTTACAGGCTTGAGGCTTTCTCAGGAAGTGAATTTACATATTCCCGGCCTCTCCTGGAGAGCTTCCAGCCTGGACAGGAAAAAACAAAGTCCGGGTATAAGAGTGCAAGCGTGTGTGTCTGTGCCTGTGCATTCCGTATGCATGTGTCTGCCTGTGTGTGTAGCTGTGCGAGGTGGTGAGTGTGAGCTCGGCCAGCTCCGTGCACAGCATGTGAGCCGTGTGAGCAGGTGCTTGCCTCCTTTTCCTGCTCCAGGATGGCCTGGGAAACGAACTGCTTTGTCTCAGTGGGAATTTCCTGGTTAGGGTTTGTCAGCCCAGCTGAGCAGACCCCAGGAGATGGGTTTTCTCAGACTGGGTCTGCTTTGGGTTCCAGCGGGAAACGCCTAACAACTGGAAGCCTCTTTTCCCTGGCTTATTATACAGCAGAGAAAGAGACAGACTTCCAGAGTCACAGTGTATACGTCTCTGCACGCACTCAGGCACCCTCGCACGCTCATCCATGTGCATGCACACTTACACAAAAACTCTCATGCATGCACGAGTACACTGGCACATGCTCACACGCCCAAGCACACAGTCAAAGGGCAGCATAGGGTTAAGGAAACCAGGCCTGTCAGGGCATCAGTGCTTCCCAGGGGGCCGGCAGGTTCTCCTCTGGAATTCTCTCTCTCTGTGAAATTCTCCAGCTGATTTGTTCTGTGTCTCTGTCCCTGAGAGAGGAGAAGGAAGGGGCAGCCCAGTGGGGAGAGGCTGGGGAGCGGGGAAGAGAGCATGAGGCACCCCAGCGCCAACCCCCCTGTGCATCCTGCGAGGGTGATGGGAGGGCACAGCCTTTGCCCACGGAGCGTGTGCACTCAGGTCACTGTCTGTAGTGTGTAAGGCTCCTAGGCAGGGGAGGGGGGTTGGTGCCTGGCTGAGCTCAGATCATGGGGTTTCCCTGAGATTCTCAGTCTGTGCCCTCTGCCCTCGCTCAGCAGCTGAGAGCACTGGCGAGGGCACCGTGTCCCTGCTGTGCCCCAGGCAGGGGACACCCAGCCTCCCCCACACCCTCCTTCAGAAGGCGGGGCAGGCACCCGGGGGATGAGTGAGGGGATGGAACCCTTTGCCAAGAGTACATGTGGGCTGGGGTTTCCCTTCAGTGACTCCCGCGCCATCCCCAGCCCATCCCTCCCCACCTCTGTTCCCCCTCCCCTCTGGGCTGCTCTCCGCTGTAATTAACATGACTCATAAACCAAATATTCTGCCCTTGAACTCCCGCCACAAAGCAGAGAGCGGAGGAATTTGCAGCTGCCCTGATGTGGCCGAGTGCTCATGCTACCCATGTGTCCCGTGCACCCAAGTGTCCCTATTCGGAGCCTGGCTTTAAAAGCAAAAGCAAATTCTGTCGTAACCACTTGACTCCAGGTGGCCAGGCCGGTCATGCCTGTGCCTTAACCTGTCTCCAGAGGCACCAGGCCAAGGGGAGCTGTGGGCACTCAGCACCTCTCTGGATCAGGCCCTGGGGGGGAAGGTGCTGCAGCACCCTGGATTGGAGCAGCTTTAGCCAGCAATGCCTAGGCAGTGCCCTGCGCCACCTCCTCCCCCGCTGTCCCCGGGCTAGCCGTGATGTCCAGCGCGAGGCCTGTAGCTGCAGCAGTGCTCTCCATGACACCTGTCTGGCTTCTCAGGCATGTCCCCCTGAAAAGCCTTGGCTCCTACTACCCCAAGCTGCGCCTGCGTGTCTGCCGAGGGCCCTGTCCATGCACCCTGGGGGTCCCTGTGTACCAGCAGAGCTGCTGCAGGCCAGGAGATGCCGAGGGCTCCGCCCCTCTCCTCGGCGTCGGCTGGACTCTGCCGTGACTCAAAAGGGGCTGAGCGGGATCAGCGCGAGGGAGAGCGGCTGCCCAGCGAGGAGCGTGGTGCCATGGGCGAATGCAAATATTATCCTTGGCCCGGCCCCTCGCTGAGCACACAGTCCCAAGCTCCAAGAGCCCGTCTCCTTTGGCTGCTGGCTCCCAACTGGGCTCCTGATTGCCAGAAGACTTTGGTTCCTTAAAACTCTTCCTGAAAAGAGACACTGGGCAGGCTCCTGCCGAGTGCTGGCTGCCAGCTGGGCCACCGGCTTCTGATCCCAGGGTGGCAGCTGGCCCCTTTGCCGCTGCCCCTTTTGTGTACGGTGGGGAGCGGGGCCTGCGTGTGCCCTGGCGCTAGAGATGTTTGTTTCCTGCCTGGCACTGACCGTGCAATGTGCCCCTTCTCGCCCACGCTGCCCGGTGTAAGCGACACTGGGTACCAGATTGGGGGGGGGGGGGGGGGGGAGAGCTTCGGCTGAGCTGACAGAGCGCAGCCAGGGGCTGAATGCACAGATCTGCACTGCTTGTGGGAGCTGCTTGCGTAGGGGGCCACCCCACTCTGCAGGGAGGGCTGAAGTGCCCCCCAGCTAGGGGACAGAGCTCCCATTCTGCAGAATGTGCACCTCAACAGGCAGAGGTGCATACCCCTCCGAGAGGGAGAGCCCCTCTCCCCATCCATTAATCCCCCCCCCCACACTGCTCCAGACACTCTCCCAATGAACTCCCCTCCTGCCTGCCCCATTGGCCTTCCCTTTCCCCCTTTCCCATTAGGGTTTTTTTTCCCTGCTGGGGGCTTGGCCTCTGGGGCCAGAAGGGGCCAAGCAGTCCCGTGGGCCTCTGCAGGGCTTGGCGGCAGCAGAGAGGCAGGTGCTAGCAAGAAGCCTCCTCTCCGAGCCCAGTACTGGGGGGCTGGGAGGAGAAAAAAGGGGCTGAGCTGGGGAGATGCTGCTCCTGAGCGCCCAGCCAGCCCTGCGGTACCATGGTGCTGCTGCCCATATGGCCACTGCCCAGGGGAGGGGCTTGGGGGGAGGTGCCCAATGAGAGACGCGCCCCCCACCCCCAGCTCTGCCCTCTCCTGGGCCCTTGGAGCTGGGACCCGTGTCTGGGGCGGGCGCCGGTGCTAGTGAGTCCCTGGGGAGGTCGGGACGGGTTCGTGTTACGCAGGGAAGTCCTGGCCCTACCGGAGAGAGTCCAGGCTGTCACTGGGGGAAGCGTGCCGAGCGCATGGGCTGTGCCTGACAGCCAGGGCTAGTGACCCGACACCTCTGCCCAGTCGTTGGGTTACCTCTGCAGGCTACAGATCTTCCCATTCATCCCCAGAGACGCCATTATCTGCTGAGTATTTTTCCAGTCAGCAGGCGAAGTGTGAGCGCTGTGGCCAGGGGTTCCGCAGTCCTCCCTCACGACGCCAATGGGCAGCAGCCCGAGGAAGGCTTGGCTAAGCACTGCAGGATCTGGCTCCAGTGTTAGCCCCACCTTCTCCCACCCCAGGTAACTCCCTGCCCAGCGCTGAATGCTCAGGCACGGGCGGGGGGGACAAACTGACACAGCATCTGCCCGCCCTGCTCCGGATTTCCCCTCAGCTGGCAGGCGAGCGGCGCTGTCCCAGGGAGCCTCATGCTTGGCTCTGCCGGAGCAGCCCCCGCCTAGCCCAGGACTCCAGGTACTTGCGTGAAGCTGTAGCAGGCCCACCCGGGTCAGCCAGCGGCGTTTGGCTCGGGGTGCTGGGCCCGATGACTCACTGCTGCCAGTCGCAGTACAGCTGGGGCTGGGGGCGAACGGGGTTGAGGCTGTTGGAGGGTGGGAGGGAGGTTTGTGGCCAGGCCTCTGGCACCTGTGGGGCAGGGCTGGCTGGAAGGAAGGATCCAGCTGGAGCAGCCGCCCAGGGCCTGCTGTGGCCAGGAATGTTTTGTGCAAGGCCGGCACTGTGGTCATTCCTGGGCGTGCAGAGACCCAGGCCAGCGCTGGGGAAGGGGAGACAGAGCCTAGAGCTGCTGAAAGGCTGATGTGGATTTGAATTAATTGGAGAAACGGGAGCTAGGGCTGCTGGGTGGGGCCGGCAGGGTCTCTCTTCCCCCCTCCCCCTATGCAGTGGGCAGCAGCTCAGGCTGTGGTGCCCGGCTCTGACCTGCTAGAAGCTCTGAGGAGCCAGAGGTGGGAGCGGCCTACTGGACCCCTTGCCCAATGTGATGCCTCCCTAATGCCCGGTCCACGTGATGGAGCTTCCACCATCTCCCCTGCCCGGTGCAGGTCACTGCCAGGCTGCTTCCCCTCCCGGGGTCTGGATTGCCCCCAGGTAGCATGCTTCCCGGCGCCTCTCCCTCCAGGCGGGCACGCTGCCAATCCCTTACTGCCCCACCCAGCACCAGCTGTCAGCCCCCTCCTGGGCCGGGCTCACGTGCAGCCCCGGTGGCATTCCCATAAACAGCCAGTGCAACCAGCAGCAATGCCGGCAGCCCAGCCGGGGCCCCATGCACTCCTGCACCTTGCCCTGGGGCTGGGCCTGGGCCGTGCAGGGCATGTGCTCCCTGGGGCTCACCAGAGCCCGCTCGCTGCTCCTGGTGCAGTGACGGGGTGGGGTGAAGGGAGGCTGCGCCCCTCCCCCATGGGGCTCTAGCCCAGCTCAAACCCACTGCAGGAAGGACAAGCAAAGAGACCAGCAGTTACACCTGCACTGCCCCTCGGTGCTGCAGGGCCAGGGCCTGTACCAGGCTCGCAGGCCCTGGCAACTTGCCCAGCCCAGCCTAGGGCATCCCTTAGGGCCGGGGGTGGGGGAACTGGGGCCAGGAAGGGCCCTGCAGCCTCTCCAAGCTGGGCCTGCCACAGACCTTCTGACCCAGTTCTCAGCGGCTCCTTGGTGCTGCAGGGGTGGGGACGAGGCTATGGTTGCCAACCCTCCAGGATTGGCCTGGAGTCTCCAGGAATTAAAGATTAATCTTTAATTAAAGATTATGTCATGGGATTAAATCTCCAGGAATACGTCCAAACAAAATTGGCAACCCAAGGTGGGGCCAAGGCAGTCCAGCCCCCCCATCCCCTTCCCCACAGCTCTGCAGGCTGCTGCTCCCCACACCCAGTCCATGGCCCCGTGGGGTGCACTGCGTGTCCATCTCCGGGACAAACCCACCACTGGTCTGGGGCCTGCCCAGAGCGCCTGGCAGGGGCTGACCTCCCCACTGGCCTTTCCCCCAGCAGGATGGAGGGGCCCTGGGCACTGAGCTTCCTACTGCTGGCCTGCCTGCTGCTGCCCGACTCCACGCTGAGCCAGCCCAGCCACCCCGAGGAGGAGCAGGGAGAGGCCACGCGGGCACCGTCCCACCGCCACGCTGCCAGGTTAGGGGGCAGGGGGCGCCAACTCGGACGGGGCTTCACGGGGCTCGTTTGCCTCACAGAACAGCCAGCACATGGCTGAGCTGAAGGAGACCCTGCCCCAGGTGGGACAAGAGGCATCCCCCAGGCCTGCAGTCACTAGGGGAGGAGCTGAGCACGCCGCTTGGAAACGCCTGCTCCCGGGGGAGGGCCAGGGAAAGGGCGGTGGGGTACTCCCCAGCTGGGGCGCATGGGGGATGGGCAGCAGCGCACCTCTCCACTGCTCAGTGGAGTGGGCTTGGGCAGGTCCCTGGGGTGGCCGGCTTCCTCCACACACAGCAGGTCCCCAGGGCAGCAGCTCCCCTCACCTCCTCAGTGCATCCCGGGGCAGCCCCCTCGTCCCAGGGGTTGTTGAGGCTGCTTTCCCAGCTCCCACCCTGAGGCCTCAGTGCTGCTCTTTGATTGGTACCTCCCAGGGCCGAACGGGACCACGAGAAATATCATCGCAACCTGGACAAGCAGCCTCCCCGCTCCCAGTGCGTGCGCTGCTGCAACCCCCCCACGCACTCCTCTGCCTACCCCATGTACCAGCCCCTGCCCCACATCAACATCACCATCCTGAAAGGTAAGGGGACCTAGCCACCTCACTGGCTGGACAGTGCAGGGGGCCTGGGACAGAATCCTGGATCCATGGGGACAGGCGAAATCCTGCTCCCCTCAGCGGTGTCTGGACTAGAGGGCAGTGTGAGGCCAGAGGCTGGGGCAGAACGGAGCTCTGTCTCCACCTCCCCTCATAGCCTCGTCCACAAGGCCCCCAGTGCTGCCCTGCGATGCAGAGTGGGTGTCACGTGCTCTCAGCTCATCCTGGGGCCCCTGGCACCCCCGAGTGCTGGGCAGTGGGAATCGGCTTTTCGGGGGGGCCTGAAGCGCCACCTGGCCTCCATGTTCCCAGGGCACCGAGCAGCATTGCGCTGGAGCGTCTTCCCAGGACCACGTGTGGGGCTGGGCTCCAGCTGCTGCCGTCACTTGTCTCCCTGGGCACCACTCTGGTCACTGGGGCTGCTGCTCTTGGACAAACCTCATGGTTCAGTTCCTTTAGCACCCCCCTGCAAAGGGCCAGATTTGGAAACGCTCCTTGTGCTAAAGCCAGGGGCCAGAGGCTAGAACCCCCAATCCGAGTCACTGCCCAGAGCAGAGCGGGGGGTGCGGGCATCGACCAGGGAGCACCAGGGTAGCAGAGGACGTGGGTCTGGGCATGGGCAGGGGACCTGGGAGCACAGGGTAATCAAGAACATGGCAGCAGCTCCGGGAGCCTTTTGTTCAGGCCTGGGCCCTCTCGGTATCATCAGTGGGCAGAACTGGACTCAGCCTCAGCCCCAGGGCTGCCCTCGGTAGAAGGGAAGGGGACTGTGGCACCGGCACTGTCCTACAGCCTGGAGGGTACACGGGGGAATCAGCCCAGAATCTGAGCAAAGGCACCAGGCGGTAACAACCACTGGGCCCCCTGGGAATGCTGCAGGGCAGCCGGAGCTGGTAGCCCATGCGTGGAGCTGCAGGAATGCCCGGGGGAGAGCTAGGGAAGGTTGGTGGCTGGGAAAGCCGGAGTCCCTGCAGCGTGGGGCTGGCAGGGCGCAGGGGGAGAGCACTGAGGCTTGCGGGTGGGAACGCAGCCCAAGCTAAGCCCTGGAAGGTGGGTGGCCTCCAGGCAGGGAGCTCTAACGTGTGGGGTGCTGCAGTGAGGATGAGCAGGCACTCGGCTCTGCTTGGGAGCCCGTTTTGCTGTGCCCGGCTCACGCCCTGGGGCTGGCACTACAGCTGTGTGCTTCATCCAGCCCCGGCTGGCTGTTCTGAGTGGGCAAGGATGGTGCTGGCCTCTCCAGTGCAAACAACGTCCGTCTTGCCTTGCCCAGGTGAGAAAGGAGACAGGGGCGAGCGAGGCCTGCAGGGAAAGTTTGGCAAAGCCGGATCGGCAGGCAGCAGGGGCCACACGGGGCCCAAGGGCCAGAAGGGGAGCATCGGGGCCACGGGGGAGGCATGCAAAAGTCACTACGCTGCGTTCTCCGTGGGCCGCAAGAAGCCTCTGCACAGCAACGACTACTACCAGACGCTGCTCTTCGACACCGAGTTTGTCAACCTCTACGACCACTTCAACATGTTCACGGGCAAGTTCTACTGCTACGTGCCCGGCATCTACTACTTTGCGCTCAACGTGCACACCTGGAACCAGAAGGAGACCTACCTGCACATGGTGAAGAACGGGGTCGAGGTGGTGATCCTCTATGCCCAGCAGAGCGACCGGAGCATCATGCAGAGCCAGAGCGTCATGCTGGAGCTGCAGGAGCAGGACGAGGTCTGGGTGCGTCTCTTCAAGGGCGAGCGGGAGAACGCCGTCTTCAGCGACGAGTACGACACCTACGTCACCTTCAGCGGCTACCTGATCAAGCACAGCGGGGAGCTGTGACCCCAGGCCTGGGCTGTCCAGCTAGTCCTCCCCCAAGGCCATCACCCATCTCCTGCTCCGCTCCTCTTCCTGGTGGCAGATCCGTCGCAGACCGCCAAGCCCTGTCATGCCTGTGCCCGCTCCCTGCTCCCCGTCCTCAGCTGGGGCACGACCCTCTCCAGGGCCGTCCTCTGTCATTGCACGACGGTGCTCTAATGCCGTCAGTGGCTGTATACATATGGACATGCCCCCCCCCCCCACATGCCTTGCTCAGCTAACTGGGATGAGATGTATTGGGGGGGGACTTCCCCAGCCTCCCTGCTGGCGTGATTTGTGATAGGAAGAGCTATTCCAGCGAGGGAAACAGGCCTTCCTCGGGCAGCAGACGGCACGGGCTGGTATTCATTGGGATGCTGTGGCGAGGAGCCTCCCCCAGGTGTGTGCTTTGGACACGCTGGCCTAGTGGCTAACAAATCCGAGTCCTGGCACACACTTTTGCACCAGTTGAATGGTGCCCCGTTCTGGTACAGTTACGTGGGTGCAGACATGACCTCAGGGCAAGGGCCAGCAGCCCTGGTTGCGCAGTGCTGCCTGTGTCCTTGCCCAGAAGCAGAAGTTGCTCAGCACCAAGCAGGCGCAGGGCTCCCTGCTGGGAAGGGACAGGGAAATGGCAGCTCCCTGGAGGCATCTGCTTCATCCACAGGGACCCTGGGATTTACAGGGTGCAGAGATGCCATCTAGCAGCAGCAGGTGCTGTAGGGACCTGCCTTGCTGGCTGCGAGTGGGGCCTGGGAGCAGCGTCACACGACTCCCAATAAACCCTCCTTCAACGTGGAGCTGGCAGATTGACCTGCTGCAGCTTCCCCTTCCCGTTCGGCTCTGCTCCCCACCCACCCTCACACAGGGTCCGGTCAGGGCATGCCTCTGTGCAGGCTCTCGGGATCCACGCCAGGGTGTCCAGCGAGGCCATGAGACCCCAGCTGCTCCCCCCATTCAGGGCACAGTGCTGAATAGCCCTCCCCCAGGCCCCGCACTCCTCAATGGCTGACGGTCACCACCCTCGAGTCGCTGCTCCCCCGCAGCCGGGGGGCTGGTTTCCAGCTGGCAGCGCTGGTTGCAATGGGCTTGGGCTTAGTCCCTCCTTCCTTGGTTAGTTCTGCTGGTCAGGCTTTTTATCTCTGTCGGTACAACACAGAGCGGGGCCGGGGCAGCGTGCTGCTCCCCCAGGCTCTCTGCACTGCTCTGTAATCACATTAAACGCTGAGAGGGCTGGATTGCTCGCTGGGTCTTGGCTTCGGGCTCCTTTCTCCACTCACACTCAGAGGCCCTGTGAGGGGACCCTTGGGCCTGGCTGGCGGAGCTGGGACTCTCCCCCCAAGACGCCCTTTCCTCCATGGGAACCCTACAAACTGCCTGAACTGGGCCCCTCCGTCTCTGGAGCTCTCACTGGCCTCAGCGAGCAGCAGCAGGACTCTGGCCCCACAGCCCTGCCCAGAGCGCAGGAACCTCTCTCCTCTGGGGGCAGCACACGCCCTTGTGCCTTCCCACTCCACACCTTTGCTTAGATTTGTGCACTTCCCTCCCTAGGTGCACGTCCCTTGGCATCCCGTGTGTGGGGGCAGGGACCCAGTGCTCGGAGCTGGGCATTGCACATGCTCTTCCCTCCCACCTGGCTGGAGACAGGGATAAAGTCCCCCCTCCCCCCGACCTGCAGCCCTCCCGCAGTGACAGCTAAGCCAGGAAGCGCAGGGTGGCAGAGGCCAGCTTGGGAGCATGGCTGGTCCTCAGAGGAGAGGACAGCATGGGGGAGCAGGTGGGATCTGGGCTCAGCCAGCAGCAGTCCCACAGGGCGACAGATGGCCGGGGAGGTGAACCCTGCCGCGGCACAGGGCCACTCCAGATACATGTGGGAGTAAGGATACGTGGTGCGGGGGGGGCCTGGACACGTACAGGCACATGCAGTGGCAGGGCAAGGGGCACTGCACACCCACTGGGCAGAGCGAGGGAGGGGGTGTGCATTGGCGTCGAATGTTTGTAGCCACACTATCAAGAATGGCAGCTAAGCCCTGGGTGCCCAGCCTGGACCCCAGACAGGCCGAGCCCTGCAGCACCCAGTCACTTTGTGGAGCTCCTTTGCCGATCTGAGAGCCAGGTCCTGGTGCCTGTGGCTGGCTGAGCACAGGACTCAGAGCTGCCAACGCTTGGCCTTGGCAGCTGAGCAGAGCGCAGGGGCCAGCCCTGCTGTCCTGGGCTGGGTGGGTCCTTGGAAGCCGGGGGCTGGGCCAGCCAGCTGGCTGGGGGTGGCCTTCCAAGAAGAATATAGGGAGAGGCGTTCTGGAGCAGAGCAGGGATGAGGTCACTCACACCAGAGTCTGCCTCATGGGGTCAGGAGAAACATTCCAGGAAAAGCCTCTGGAGTTATGTGTGGTCACAATGTCATTCTCCCTAGCAGACACAAACTTAGGAACATTCCCTTCCTGGGCCTTAGTTGTATCCAGAACCAACTCTGGGTCAACTGACAAATTCTTAAGTAGCATAAACCGAGAAGCACTTTCTGTCTGCTCCACAGACAAAAGCCTGGAGGTACATTCTCCTTCATTAGGCACACTGCTATTTGCAACAGACAAACAATTGAAAACAGTTTTTCCTTCAACAGATAAACTGTTGCGTTCCACAAATAGTGTCTCACTACACTGTATTCAGAGTGGTAGCCGTGTTAGTCTGTATCAGCAAAAACAATGAGGAGTCCTTGTGGCACCTTAGAGACTAACAAATGTATTTGGGCGTAAGCTTTCATGGGCTAGAACCCACTTCATCAGATGCATGGAGTGGAAAATACAGTAGGCAGATATAAATACACAGCACATGAAAAGATGGGAGTTGCCGTACCGAGTTGGGGAGTCAATGCTAACGAGGCCGATTCAATTAGGATGTGGCCCATTCCCAACAGTTGACAAGAAGGGGTGAGTATCAACAGAAGGAAAATTATTTTTTGTAGTGACCCAGCCACTCCCAGGCTTTATTCAGGCCTAATTTGATGGTGTCACGTTTGCAAGCTACACCGAGCTGCTTTAAACAAATAATTTCTACCTTTTTCAGGCTTACTTTCACAAACTTTACTAGCTAACAATTCATCACTTACCGAGACTGTACCCCTTCCTTCCTCAGTTAGGGCTTTAACCTGATCACCAACTTTAATTTGCTCTAGAGAAACATTTCTCTGAACCCTATCGAATGCCAGATTCACTTCTGAGATACCAGATACTCAGCAATTTCTTCCACATATGCACTGCCTTTTGGCACAGATAAACAGCTATCTTTCTCAGAGAAACATTTGGAGAAACCCTCCATAGGCAAATCCTTGCCCCAAGTAGACACAGGTTCAAGATTATTTCTTTCCTGTGACTGATTTATGCCAACCGGACAGAACAAAGCTTTAATATCATCCCCAATCAAAAGATCCTTAGGCAAATACTTCCTTGCACAAGCTATAACTTCATGTTTAATACCATTGCATTCAAGATGGATTCTGGCTAAAGGCACATGTACAGTAAATTTATAGTGGATTACAATATTCACAGTCTGATTTGGTAAATAATCTTCCTTTTTGAGAAGATCTGCTTTAACAAGAGTGATGTCAGAAGCTGTAATTTGTCCTAAACAGCTTTTCCCATTGACTTTTACATTCTCTGCACAAGTTATGGGGTTACCTTCACCTGAGCTCACAGTAGAAGCATTTACATAAAAGGTGTCAGTGTTGGGGTAAATTTGGTTACACACTAGAGTCAAACAGCATACCAACACTGTTACAAACCGGATAGAGTCAATCCCCATCTTTGCTGCTGAGAGGAGCTGGCTTTTCAGGATGATACAGTTCCTGTTGTTCCTTTATTCTCTTGAGTTGGAGCTTAAGTCTGTCCACTTTTGCCTTAGCTTCTACGTCCTGCAATCAATGTTCTTTTGATATCTGAACTATCGGAATACAGCATAGACAGGGACTGTTGATTACATTGTATGATTTACACTGCACATTGATTATATGTATGATCCTACTCATACATATGTAAATGCACAAAAACACAAACATTATCTCCCCACATGTCTTTTGAGGATTATTTATTTTGCAGGATGTTTAACCCTTTCTGGCCAGGCGTGTCAGACCATTCCCAGGAACGTTAAGAAGAAATAAACATGACTTCCGTGGGCAAAGCTTTGTCTTTAAAGGGCCATCGCCAGTGAAAGCCAGGCTGCAGGCTGCAAACACCGGCTTTGCCAAACCAAGCAGATGTCTCCCCAGTGTTACCCAAAATAGTCCCAAGAAGAGTTGTTCAAAAGCAAATGCGTTTCCTGGCAGCATATGAGCCAGCCCTGCTGCACCGAGGACCTGAGAGCAACGCTGACTTCAGGGGTGCCCACTGGCCGAGCTGAGAGAGCCTCTTAAGCCCCAGGCCCTGCTCTTCCAGACACCCCGAGTGATCGTGGACAAGTCCTCAGTTCCCACCTGGACCCCAGAAATCACAGCCCTGCCCTACTGCACAGGGGGAGGGGAATGTTAAATACTGCAAAGCGCCCAGACTCAACGGTGATGCGGGGGTGGTGGTGGGGGCAGATAATTACCCGAGAAGACAGAGGGATTTTTTAAAATCTCATGCGCTGTCTATTCCCGGAGAAGGCTAGCTAGCTCCCGTAGGGGTCATACTGACCCCGGCCACTCTGCTGAGCCTGCAGCCAGAGAGGGCAGGAGAAACAGACTCGCCAGCCCCCGAGAAGTGGCTGCTCCTGGTTCACTGTCCGTGGGGAGCCTGGTGCGGAAAGGGGGCACCGTCCTGAGCCAGGAGTCTGTTTGTGTCACGGCGCTGGCAGTTCCCCTCGCGCCAGGGCTGGCTAGTGCCCAGGCTTGATGGGGGGCCGGGCGCTCAGAGGGAAGGCTGCCTGTCCCCAGCCTTTCCCCTGCCAGCCTCACTATTAATCTGTCCAAGTATGGTGCGTGACCAACCTGTTCCCCTGCAGCTGAGAGGGGACGTGGGAAGAGGGGAAAGTCACCCACCCTGCTTGGCCAGGGCTTCTGTCAGGGATCTTAAACAAGATTATCTGGAGCCCAAACCAGCCCTCTGGAGCCTGCTCGCCATGTAGTGTGTGGGGGGAGAACGGGACACCCTGGGGCCACATCCCTCCTCATGTCGGGGTGGCACCTTGCGCGCTTATGGCGCTCTACAGCCAAAGATCATCGCCCTGGCTCGGGGCTCTGTGCCCCCCAGCCCCGCACCGGCTCCCCTTCCCCACACAGCAAACAAACTAGGTCCTTCCTGCCAGCCGGCCCCAGGAGCGCACCCCCGTGCTAGGTTGACAGCCACCCCGGTGCTCGGGCCCAGCTTCCCCCCCCCCGCCCGGCCCACCCCCGGCCCGGCCCCCCCCCCCCCCCCCCCCCCCGGCCCGCGCCCCCCCGCCCCGCCCCCCCCCCCCCCCCCCCCCCCCCGCGTGCTGGGCCACGAGCTGCCCCGGGCTGGAGCCTGAGCGCGCGGCCCGGGATTGGCCGGGGCCGGGGCGGCCCCATGTGACCCGGGGCGGGGGCTGAGCCGGGGCGGGAGGACGCGGGAGATGGACGGAGGGCGGCGGGATGGAGCCAAGAGCGGGGAGAAGAGGGGGCCGGAGCCGGGGCCGGAGGTGAAGAGGAGGTGAGCGGGCCGGGCCGGGCTGCATGTGCCCCATGGCACGGGGGTGCATGGCCCGTGCCGGGGGGGCGGGGGTGCGTGGCCCGTGCCGGGGGG